CACGCCGGGTAGATTGTGAGGGGATGGGAGACGTGCAGAAAGCTCTGGCATGGGAGTGAGTCCCCCTGCACTGTGAAGAAGACTGTCCGTGGTGCCCAGGCCTCATCCCTGTGGGAACACCCTTACAGCATGGGCTTATTTGGGGCATTGTTTCCTGCCCTGGTGTCCTGGTCATGAGCCCAGAAGGGGTAACAGGTATGGAGCTGGGCTCTGAGGTGCCAGCAGCTGGTCTCAACCCTGCTCCATCTCCTTCCCCCAGCACTCGCAGCAGCTGAAGCGTGTGGCATGGCTGGCCCCAGCTCCGTGCCGCTGGAACTCTGGGCTGCCCATGAACATCGGGGTGCTCTTTGTGCCGCAGCAGGAGGCCTGGGTGGTGGAGAGGATGGGCAAGTTCCACCGAATCCTCGAGCCTGTAAGGAGCAGCTTTTCTCCCCTTCTGGATTCAGCAGGTTCCTAAAGCTGTAGCGAGGCGCGTCCTTTGCACGAGGATCCGAGAGGGGTGGTGGGTTTAGCTTCCCAGGCTGAAATCCTTTTGGCTGCCTGTGGACTATTTTTCCTTGGTGGGGTGTTAAAACCACTGAGTAACTGAAATTCCCTGTGCATAAAACATTCTTGCAGCATGTGGTGTGGGCTTTGTTTGCATGATGCTCTCTAGTCTATCAGCCATCTAATCCCACCCTTTTCCCAGGGTTTGAACTTCCTCATCCCTCTCCTGGATCGGATTCGTTATGTCCAGAGTCTCAAAGAAATCGTCATTAATGTCCCAGAGCAGTCAGCTGTCACACTGGGTGAGGAACAGCTTCCGTGTCCTGCCCCTTTCCTTCTGCTGCATCTGGGATGAGCAAGGGACAATGTGAGCATGAGTGGAACTGTCCCAAGCTCCTGCACTCAGCCCTGTCCCTTGGTACCCAGGCTTGGCCATAAAATCAGAAGATCCCTGAGTGATTTGGGTTAGAAAGGACCCTTAAGTTCATCTTGCTCCAGCACCCCTACCATGGGCAGGGGACATGTTCCACTTGGCTGGGTTGCTCAAAGCCCTGTCCAGCTTGGCCTTGAACACTTCCAAGGATGAGGAATCCACAGCTTCTCTGGGCAACTTACTTCAGTGCATCACCACCCTCACAGTAAAGAACTTCCTAACATCTAATCTAAGCCTGTCCTCCATCAGGTTAATGCCATTCTCCCTTGTCCCATCCTTCCACATCAATGTGAAAAGTCCCTCTCCAGATCTCTTTAAGTACTGGAAGGCTGTTGCTGTGAGTGGGGGCACCTCAGGAGATTCCAGCTGCTTTCTCAGGCTGCAGCTGCCCCTTCTTGCTGAGTTGAATGCACCTGAAGAAATAAATTTTTAAGGTGCTTTCCTTTATTGAACCACACAAGAAATTTCTGCTTCTGTAAAAAGACATTTTAGAACAGGTTAATGGATGCAATATTAATGGACAGCTCTGTTATATCTCTAGTTTTAAGGAGTTTGTTTTGTTTTTTTCCTTGTTATATCTTTATTTATGAGAGCTACAATGTGAAATGCTTCTATCTGGAAAATCAAGACCTGTCGTGTATTAAAACACAACAGGGAATGTAAGGTCCTTTTTACAAAGCTTTTAGATAAGAAGATCTATTTCAGCCAGTCCTCTACTGTGCCATGGTGATATGCCAGGGTGAAAAAGAGTGAACCTGCTCAGTTGTGGAAGAGGGGATTTCTGTGTTTTGTTTGTGCTGCTTCAGTAAACAGGGTCTGTTGTTCTCTTCTGACAGATAATGTCACTCTGCAGATCGATGGTGTGCTCTACTTGCGGGTTATGGACCCCTACAAGGTACTATCCCTGCCCCTTGGGCACCTTTCTCCTGGCTCTGCCCACTCCCCTGCTCCCCAAAATGTGTGCTCCAGCCTGTGCTCTGTGTCCTGCCTGGCAGGTGAGATGGGCACTCTTGACTCCTCCCAAAGCTCCAGACTCCACATTTTCAGCAGAGGTGTCTGGCAGATTTCTTGCTTTAGTGCTCTGTTTATCTCTCCTGCCTTGTTCAGGGTCCCTCTTGACATCCCTATCCACTTTGTTTTGTGCTTCTGTTCTTCAGGCCAGCTATGGGGTGGAAGATCCTGAGTATGCAGTGACCCAGCTGGCCCAGACCACCATGAGATCTGAACTTGGCAAACTTTCCCTTGACAGAGTATTCCGGGTGAGCTGGGGAGGTGGATCACGGAGCTGACAGTGTCTCCCAAAATCCCAGGACAGCCTGCATGGCCAGGTTGATGCGCTTAACAGCAAAATGCCCTTTGCTTAGAGGGCTTATAGCTTCTGTTTCAGTTGACCTATTGGTGAATCAATGGAGATGGGTTTTATTTCAGTTGTTTTTTTAACAGGAGCTATTTTTCGCTCTTGTGTTATTTGGAGGGGGTGATGGCTGGCATGTGCCCAGACCCAGGTGGTCCAGCTGCCTTTCTCGAGTCAGTGGCTCTTTGCTCAGCCCCAGTGATGGATATCCCTGACCTGGGTCATGAGGTACTTTTACTGCATTTGCTGGGAAGAAACCAGAGTTGCTATCATTCTCTTGTATCCAGATATACACCAGATGTTGTATCCCAGCAGCTTCAGTGTGGGGCACTGCCTGCCCTAGGAGATGGTGACCCCCTTCAAGAGCTGCAGGAAGCACCTGACTCTGCCTGAAACCCATAGAGATGTTTTTTTTCTGGCAGACCTTGACCTGTGAGGGAGGTGTCTGTTTCCCTCCTGACACCTGTCTCATGCTAAGCCCCAATTCCCTGCTCTCTGCTATTTCTTTTGTGCCTCCCAGGAGCGGGAG